CCTGTGCCCCCCCTCCCCACTGCCCCTGGCAGCTGCAGGCAGCTCCCTCTCTGCCTGCCTTGCCACCAGCACCCAGGACGAGCGGGTGAAGGGGTGGGATGGAAGATCACCCAAGGTTGTCTTCCCACCAGCCAGCCTCTCCTGGGCAAGGTATGTTTGTCTCCCTTTTGCACTGGGAAGTAGGAGGAGAGCGCTCCAAAGCGAGCAGCGTGGCCCCAGCTGTGGCCCAGGCTCTGGCTGAGCCCCATTCCCAAATAACTATCTGGGGACGCACCTCCCGGCCAGCCCGGTGCTGGCTGGGGACACTCCTGGCTGAGGGACAGACCCACCTGAAGGGACCGTAGAAGCACGAAGCAAACTTGGCGCTGTAGCTCATCACTGAGACCTGCAGAGGAGAGCTGAGCTGTGAGGGCCAGAAGCTCGGTGCTGCATCCCCGCGCCGGGGCAGCAGCGATTCCCTCCCACGGCTGTTTTATACTCTGCCCCACATCCTCCTTCCCCTGCCAGAGGCCTGGCACCCTCGCTGTCCCTGTGTCCGGCCAAGGACATTGCCTTCCTGTGTGCGCCGGGGCAGGGAAATGCCTGTGGCATGTCCTGGGCAAGGTGGGGGTTTGCTTCTCCCACTGCTTGCCCAGGACCTGTTGTGGTTGCAGCCTCCCCATGGATGTTGCTCCTGCCTTTGGCACACGCAGATCCCGAGCTCACCTTGTTGCCCAAGTCATTGGAGATCAGCGCCTTCTTCATGGCCGCGATGCGCCCATCCATCATATCTCTGTGACTCTGCCTCAGGAGGAGGTGACCCCAGGGCCCGAGGGGCCCCGCGTGCCTGCAGCCCTGCCGGGGCCAGCGCCTGGAGGGCTGGGGGAGCCTCCCCCGGCTCGGAGCAGAAGCTCTCCCAGCTGGAGCCAGGCCCAGTTTGCTTTTGGGCCTGCTGAAAGCGAGAAGGGGCCAGTCTGCGAGAGTCAAACTCGGGCACCGCTGCCAGGAGACTCCTCACCTGCTTTGGCATAGGCCAGCGCCACTTCGGCCAGCCGCTGGCAGCTGATCTCGTTCTGGATGGTGCCGTCTTCACGCAGGATGCCTAGGAGACAAACCTGGGGTTAGGCGAGGGGCCGGATGGCCGGTTGCCTCGATCCCTAGGGTGGGAGCGTGGCTCTTGCTACACAGATGCTCAGAGCAACAGCGGGGAACATGTTAAGGGAGCTGGATAAGGACCAGGGGACCAACAACGCAGCCCTCCAGGGACCGGACACAACACGTGGGTGCTCCAGGGGAGGGAAGACAGAGATGGGGTACACAGACGGGCGCTCAGACAGATTCAGATGGCCAGGGAGGGGGTGCCTTAACCACCCGTGCCTCCCAGCCTGCTCTCAAAACCTAGGAGAGGTCCCTCAGGCTCAACTGCACCAGTACTGGGGAGCCAAGACTTGGCACAGGTCCCAGCAGCACCCAGAGCTCCTCAGCAGAAAACAGCAAACCCCCAGCCACTCCCAGTCCTGGGAAGGTGCCCGAAGAGCAGCCCGGGACCCCAGGCTGTGCGCTCACCGCAGTGCCCGTGGGAGGTGTAAGGGCACAAGCAGACATCGCAGGCTATGAGCAGCTCTGGGAAGGTGGAGCGGATCCTCTTGATTCCCTGGATGGCAGGCGTGTCCTCCGCATCAGCGGCGGAGCCTCTCTCGTCCTGTGAGAAGATAAATGCCTCAGCACGCAGAGCCGAGGGCTTCCCACCGGCTCCTCCGTGGCAGCAGTTCTGCCCAGGAAATGTTTTCTGAACCGTGAGACCCTGTAACGCAGAGCGGTGTGACCACCAATGATGGAAAAGGGCTATGGATTAGTGCCTCTGAGCAGTGAGGGCAGGTCTCAGGGCCACCTGCAAGAGCTCTGGGAGCTTTTTGGGTGTCACTACAGTCTCCCATCCCCATCCTGCTCTGCTGAGCGGGGTGCAAGCACGCCCAGAGACCCTGAACTACTCCTGTTTGATCAGGAGACCCCCCTGGCCCCACACTGCTCTCCCACACCCCTGTGGCTACCCCAAGCCCCCTGCCACCACCACCCACGCTGGCCTTGTGGACCCTGCTGGGCACCCCGAAGATGAGCACACACTTCAGACCGTCTTCGACGAGGGGACGCAGCATCCCCTCCAGCTTGTTGACTCCGTACCTGAGAAGAGCAAAGTGAAGGGGGCTGCCAGGCACCCAGACCTGCTCTGTGGGGCAAGCTGGTCTGCGAGTGATCCAGCATCCACGAGCATCCATGCCAAGCAGCGGCTGGAGGCACGGGGGAGGTGTTGCCTGAACATTGGGAGGAACAATCCAGGACCTTATCGGGGCCTACAGGAGCGTTATCTACCCAGCATGGACACTCTTTGCTCTGAAAGGATGAGCATGCCTTGCCCTTGGATCCCTTATCTCGGCTTCCCGGTTGCAGATCCAGCCCGCCTCCCCACAGGACCATCCCCCTGGGGCCTTTCTGACCACAGCCCTGCTAACGTAGCGGCAGATGAAGACGGGCGCTGCCAGTCCAGCAAGATCTAATGCAGGACCAGAGCCCGTGTCCTTGCACAGGTTTTCTAGCTGCTGCTGGAAAGCCCATTCGCTTCCAGCTTCCCTGTGTGCCCAGCCCACGCAGCGTGCGAGTGCTCTGGGACATCGCGAGACCCTGGCACTGTCCCTGCCAGTGCTGGTATTTTCCCAGCATCCCCAGTATGATTCCCTCCACTTCCATGATGGACGAATGCTCCCGCCCTGCCTGATGCTGGGGGATCCCCAAGGCAGGGACCACAGAAGGTTGGAAGCGTCACCCCTGGCCCATGCTCATCTCAGGCCACACATCAACCCTGCTCAGGCACGGGGCACGGCAGCGACTGGCACGCAGCTTGGAGGGGCTGGGTTCTTACCTGGCTTGTCCAGGGAGGCTGGGGATCGGCTCCACTGCATCAGGGCTGTCACTGCAGGAGGTGGATGGGACAGAGACGTGAGGACTTGGCATGAGAAGGAAGCCCCTACCCCAGGCTTGTCCACAGGGGGTCTTTTGGGGAGTCTGAACCTATCTAAGAGCTCAGGGAGCACCTAAGCCAGTCAACCTGAGCTTGGTCCATCCCTAACCCAGAGAGCCAGGCCCCACTCACGTGACAAAAATGGGGTAGATGAGGTTGGAGGCATCGAAGGTGGTTGCTGTACACTGCCAGGAGCGTAGCACAGGGTGGAAGTAGCCGCTGTGAAGAATGGAGTCTGCCTGCATCTTCACTAGGAGGCTGTGGAAGGAGACTCTGAAACACCAACAGAAACCGGCAGGCTGGTTAGCGGGCGGTGTCCTGGCAAGCCAGGGCTATCGGTGCTTGCGAGGAGGGGGACGAGATCCAGACAGCCGCTGCAGGACCGTCCCTGTCCTGCTCCAGGCACACGCGGGGAGCGTGAGCTGCAGCCCAGCCAGCTTCGGCCCCACTCTCCCGGGGGCTGCCCCGCGCCGGGTGAGTGTTGCAGGACCCCGCATCAGCAGTCACAGCACAGCACTTCCCATAAACAGGGATGACGCCGACTCCTCCCCACAAAATGTCCCAATTCTGCGTGTGAAACCGCCAATTTACAGCCAGCAGCGTCCTCCCGCAGCAGAACCACATTCACATGGTTCAACACTACCACCCTCGTGAGGCTCCGCCTGTTCTAGCTTGCATAGCTGTAACAAGTTTTCTAACGATGAGATGGTCATTGCTTAATTCATTTTAGTTTCGCTCAGCGCTGTATAATTGTGCGATACAGCTTTTGCACACAGAGTAGTAAAAAGCTGCTCTGCGTAGCGCGGAGTATTTGTGGCCACAGTCTGAAGGTGCAGTTACAGAAGAGTACGGGCGCTGGATGGGAGGGAGGTGCAGGATCATCCTGAAGACACCAGGACCACGAACCCCGCAGTCACACAACTCCAGAGGCCGCTTACTGCTGGATAAAGAAAACTTGGGAGTTGGGCAAAACTGGTTTCAGGGGTAACAAAGAGCAATGACTCAATGTACAGAAATCAAGTGTTAGCTATGTTATTGTTGAAACTTTAGCAATATTTTCTTCTTGTGTAACGGTTAGATCTAGTAATAATTCTGCGATTAGACCATTAAGATTTAAATTTCCACTAGCACTAAATTCTCACCAACGTGTGGTTGGTGAGAGTGCGACGGAAGGGGCCGGGGGAAGGCGGCTGCCCAGCACAGACTGTTTGTACGGAGCTGCTTCAAGGATTTGTGCTGGCTGCGCGCACAGGGCCGCATCCCACAAACGCCCCCGCGCAGAGGAGCCGGGGGTGCCCCGGGAAACAAACAGCAAAGTCCCTGCTGGAGACCACAGATTTTGACCCGAGAGCTGAAACCGGAGGGAGGCGGGCGGGAGGAGAGCTGGAGATGGGCTTCTGAAAGAGCAAGCGGGATTCCTCCGCTGGCTCCCCTGGGCAGGGCAGGGCTTCCCACGGGAGACAGAGCGGACACGAGGATGGGACCTGTCTCGGGGGAGCGGCCCCGCAGTCCCCAGTCCCATCCCAGGAGGGATCCCCCAGCAATAAACCTCACTGCCCGCGGCTCTCTCCGGAGAGCAGACACGGCTCACTTAGCAGCCCAGGATGCAGTCCAGGGGAGAAAGTTTTACACCAGCACCCGTGACAGCAGTCAGCAACGGAGCTGGGCAGGAGATGGCTCCATTCTTCTGGAAAACCTTTAATTTGTGGTGTTCACCTATTTTACAGACGCAAGACCCTTCAGATATTCTAATGCTGAGCCAAATCCTCAGTCCGTATCAGGCCACCCCAGTGCATAGGGCACTTGTAATACAGGGGCATCGTGCTCAGTCCAGGGCTTGAACCGAGGCTCTCGTTCCCCTAGCAATCACCTCTGCTTGGGGGTGGGGGAAAAGGCACCTCTCAATTACTTACAGGCTTACACGTATAAAAACACTGTGTAAAAAAATCGGATGGTGCTTGCGGGGGATGCAGACCAGCTGACGGGCACGCTGGCAGTGTCACGGCGTCACTTTGCAAGTAATTTTTAGCACTGGAAAGCTGCCGCTCCAGTCCTTACTCGCAGGGAAGGTCTCAGCCCTCGGGTGAGCTGGAGTCGGCAGCCCCAGTGCAGCGGCTGGGCTGCTCAGGCAGGGCTCCAGGCAGGGCTCCAGGCAGGGCTCCAGGCAGGGCTCCAGGCAGGGCTCCAGGGAGGCAGCAATAGGGAACAAAGGGGTCAGTGACACAA